TGTTTTTTGAATGCAGGTGCAAGATACATTATGGTATCATCTGCTGGAAGAAGCACTCAACCATCCAAAGACTTGAAACAATGAACTATGTGGAAGGTTCTGTCAGGTCGATGGTCACTTCAAGGTCTGCAGATCAAGATGTGTTAATAATGATGTTGATCTTTATCAGACTGTTGTTGGAGCAATCATCAAAGGTTGTCTAGAAACACCGGTGTCAAATCGCAGATGGTGTAAAAAACATCTCCCAGAGTGTGATAGTGAAGATGACTCGGACAACGGCAGAGAAAAATCAAGTGAAGCCCGGGGCTCGAAAAAACCCCAAGTTATTATGTCAGATATTAAAGAGCCCTTTGCATGTCGAACGCGTTTTCAAACATGGACGCACATGAGCAATGCAGACTACATCATTGAATCTCGACTGTTCAATGAGGTAAGTATATATGTTAACGATCTGATAGAAAATATGTTCTTGGTGCATCTGATAACCTAAATATGTTCTTGTTGCGTCTGATAACCTTTCTCATGAAGTCTAGAAAATGTAAAATAAAATGATTTAAAAAAAAAAAATCCGGAAGTTTTTCAGAACTCTCTACTGTTAATTGTTTTGATTGTGTCTATGCTCGATACATCTTGTTTTTGTGAAGTTTTACAGAAATAAGTTTAAATAATACAATTAACATGTATTCTCTTGTTGATCGCCTGTTTGCAGGAGGTATTCTACCTTGTCAAATGGAAAAATCAGCCGTATGCAAAATCAATTTGGTGTCATCACAATGATTTTCGTGGAAAGCAAGGACAAACAGTGCTGAAAAAGTTCCTTGACAAACAATTATTAATTTATTTTTATCAAGGACAACAACTTCCTAAAGATCATGTCTCTGAACTCGAGGAAGAAAGAAAGAAAGTAGCCAAACTTCAAAGAACTTCATATACTTTAAAGACATTTCATGACAAGCAACAGAAAACTTGTGGAACCGTTCATTGTTTTTGGTCTTGTGGTTTCATGTTTCCGCCAATGGAAATAGTTCCTATGGAGTCTTGTACACAGGTAGGTCAAGGTAACTTTATATGACGCTCGCTCTTCCTTCTGACCGTATACAAATCATCCTAACGATTTTTTCCTTACCTTCTATGAATGACATTCATTTATTGGTTCATATCTATGCTGACTGCCTCTCGCCTCTCTTTATATCGTAGTTGGATTTGTTCGTCCCTTGTGCTAGCATCGACATTTTCTCCTTAGACAGTCCTAACTCCACCAGGATAATGTCCAGCTATGTTCCCCCCTGGCCGCGGCCGAGTCCGGTCATGACCGCAACCGCTGGTCGTGACCGGGACGCCCCCGGTCATGACCGCTCCGGTCATGAACTTCCGGCCTCGGCCGCGACCGGTAGGGGAGAGGGTTTCAGGAGCGGGGAGCGGGTTTCGGGTGGGGAGGGGGGGGGGGCACCCCCTCGAAGTGGCAGACCGACAAAAAAATAAAAAACGGGGGGGTCCTAAACATGGGTCTAGCAGGGTGGGCCAAGAAAATTCATGCATCCACCGATTTGCGGTTTGTTGACGCGGGTGCATAAGGGGGAGGGTCGGCAACACATGAAAAAAAAAACAAACTTATCTCTCTCTCTCTCTCTCTCTCTCTCCCTCTCATCCTCCTTCGTTACTCCGTGGCTGAGCTCCGCGGCTATGGCCTTCTTCTTCTTCTTCGTTGGACCACACAATAATCTTCACAGGTATGTGACAACCAATCTTGTATCGTTCAATATGTCTCTCTCTCTCTCTCTCTCTCTCTCTCTCTCTCTCTCTCTCTCTCTCTCTCTCTCTCTCTCTCTTCATGCCAGCAACAATGGCGGTGGTACGGCTAGACAGCGGCAGCATAACGGCGACAGCATCAACTGTTGCCGTTTCATACAAATGTACGCATTTATCTGAAAACGGCAACCGCTTCGCCATTGCCTGGGCCAGGACCCACCCCCCCCCACACGCCCTACCCACTGGCACCTTGAAAAAG